GATTCTTTATTAAAGTATTTGATCAACTATGTAAATTAAAACTATATATAATATCATATAAAAATTAATTATTAAATTTTTTTTTGAAATTAGTAATCAGAATAGTAATCAAAATAATGATCAGAATAGTGATCAGATTATTTATTACTTTTAATATATAATTCAATAGTAAAGAATAACTTGCATGTTTTTAGATATCTAGAGTGAATTACTTTTCTTTTTTTAATTATTTTAACATAAATCTATACTTAAACATGTTTAGAACAAAGTTACATTGGTTTTTTTAACTTTAATATTTAGGTTTCATGCTAGCTCTTTACAAAATTCTTTTAATAAGTATACAATTAAAACTGAATTTTGTAAAGAGTCAACTCGAAATTTAAATATTTAAGTTAAAGAAAAAACTAACATAACTTTGTTTTAAACATGTTTAATAATAGATTTATGTTAAAATAATTAGAAAAAGTAAAGCAATTCATTCTAAACATCTAAAAACATGTGTTTCATTCTTTACTATTAAAATACATATAAAAAATGATAAATAATCTGATCATTATCCTGATCACTAAATTCAAAAAAAAATTTCTAATTGTAAATTTTCATATGGTACCACATATAGTTTTGATTTACTTAGTTGACTGAATACCCCAGTCCCTTATGGTTAAAACGTAACTAACATAATGCAAAGACACAAAGCAACTCAAAAGAAAGGCGTGGAAGATTTGGTCCAAGAAACAAGGATCTTACTGCCACTAAGATCCTGGTTTTAGGTGTGTCTTTATTAATATTAAACGATAACTTATCTCTACTTCGCTGTAGAAATTACAGGACTTTTATACAAGAAAAATACACGAAGGCTTTGACACAGCTTAACTAAATTGAGTATCGGGAGAATCTACAAGCTACAATGATTTATTTACATGACTATGACATAAAGCCGTTATTCAATGAGCTTTGCCTCGAGCTAAACCCAATATAGCATTTTATTCAAATGCTACTTTCACATGCGGGATCCTGCGGCTTAGCTTCGGCTCGGGACCTTGGTTCGGGATGCTTCGGTTCGGGACCTTGGTTCGGGATGCTTCGGCTCGGGAGGCTTCGGTTCGGGACCTTGGTTCGGGTTATGACCATGTTACTCACGTGCCTACAGCTAGGTCACGTTTTGCCTCTCACACCGTATATACGTATGTGAGGATTTTTTTTATAGGTTTTTTAATAATTTCGGAAAATTAACTTCTGCAAATATTTTCCTAACGAAAATACGATATGACTAACGAAGGTACAATTTTTAAGTTAACTATATAAAATTTTTGTATCAAATTTTTTTTATTTTGTAGTTCTTGTTTCTCTCTTTTTAGTAACAACCTTGGTTTTTTATGAACTTATTGATTTGAGTAAATTTTGTTTACTTTGTCGAAGAATCGGCTACTTGTAAACAGAATAAATCGAAAATATACCATGTTGCACTATTCTAAGCAAATTAAAGTAATCATTTACAACAAATTAAACTTGTAATTATTATGTTAGTTCAAAAGAAAACTGTACCAAAAGTTGCTATTACCCGCAGTAAATTCGGATCTTCATAAAAAATATTTAATTGGCAATTAGTATACGTATAATTGGTTACTTATCGCTTATCGTTATAGTTTGATTTTATTAGTTTGATGATCACCCTAATGTGTAACGTATTACAATGAGAATACTTAAAAGCCCCAGCATGAACTTTTTATTAATGATGCATCTTTCACAATGGCATCAAAAATCTTTATGGGTGATATGCCTGAACTAATGAGACAAATCCTTAACAATTTAAATAACGAGATTTCTTCCTTACATTCATGCGCACTTGTGAGCCGGTATTGGTGTAAAATGGCAATTCCTATTCTTTGGCAAGATCCATTAAATTATCCAAAACATTCAAAACTATTTCCTCACACTATTCTGCGACGACATCCATTTATAAAAAATCCAACATTCATAACTACATACTTTTCATCCCTTGACGATGATGGAAAATCTATTATGCAAAAACACGGTTTAATTGCAGACTTTCCCAATACACTATTTAATTATGCAAGATTTTTAAAAGTTCTTAATCTATTTAATTTAAATTGTATAGTTACTCAATGGATTAAATTTAAATTTCAACAAAAAAATGTCGAAGAATTAATATACGATATATTTAATTTATTTCTTAAAATATTTATAGAGGCTGGTGCCACTTTATCTTTATTGTATTTAGATGATTATTATGAATGGCCTCAAATAAAATCAGAGATCTTTTACTTATTGGAAAGAAATATGCAATTTTTTTCGGGACTTCGTAGTTTATCTATGAAATTATTAGGTCGACATAACATTGAAAATGCTATTAAATTGTTAAAAATCTTGGCAAAAGGTGCTACTAAAATTACAGAAATAACTGTTGACGTTGATTATGATTCTCATGGGCCATTATGCAACATTATTAAATGTATTATTAAGTCACATAAACAACTTAGTTATTTTAATTTTGTATGCAATAGTGAGCATAAATATTTTTTACTTTCTGAAGAATTTTATAGTGTTATTTCAACCTTAGGAAGTCAAGTAAAACCATTAAAAAAAATTTCTTTAGATGGTTTAATTTCTTATAGAGCAGAGTTTAAAGCACTAATGAACTGTGAACATTTAATAATTAAATTTGTAGACTATGCAAAATTAACAACCGAATTTTGTGATATCATTTTAGCTTTAGAAAGTGAAAAAGAAGCATTAAAAAGAATTACAATAGAGAATCATTCTGGTAATAGGTTTGACGCGCTAATGAATTGTGGAAATTTAACAGTTACTTTTATATCACCTCGTGAAGATGGAGAGCAAATATTTAAAACTTTAAATACTAGTGTTTGCAAAATTAATAATTTAGAAGTAACTTTCGGATACACCTCGTTTGTCACAAACTATATAATACCAATTTTGAAAAAGTCCGGCACATCATTACAACGATTTAAATTTATTACTTACCCGAATATGGATTCATTGATGTTATTGATAGAAATACTTGTAGATTTTTGTCCAAACATCAATTATTTTTACATTTATCGAGTTAAACTTTCCTCTCGTCCTCTGAAATTTATTAATCGTTTACAAAGACTTCATACTCTCACCTTAGGTTTGACGAATGATGTGATGTCAGAAGATATTATGAACTTTACTGAAATACTACCATCGGCATTGCAACACCTTGAAATTATCACTAATCTATCAGATTTGCACATTGATGTCTTGCTTAATCATTGTAATGCACCTTTAAACAAACTTTCGCTAAATATTATAAGTGATAATAATTTTGAGAAAAATATCGATGCATTAATTGGATTTTGTACACGAAAAAAGACGTTGGACGAAGTACATGTGAATATAGAGCTTTCATATAGGGAACGTGAAGAATATAACACTGAAACGGAAAGGAGGTGGGATAAAATTAAAAAAGATTTAGAAGAGTATGTTAAATTGGTGCCACTATTAAACGGCAAATTAATTAACAATTCGTAATATCATATCAGATATATATTATAATCTAGCAAAATCTATGTGACTACTTCTAATGATTGTATGCAACTTTTTTCCTAAAACAAATATAACAAATAAAACATTATAGCAAACATTTTTTGTTAAGGATTTAAAATATAAATCCATATACTTGTATATGAATAAACGCACATCTATTGTAGACCATTAGTTCGTAAAATCAAAAATTTTGAACTATTGGGATTTTTTGAAAAAAATGTTATTTTCGACGTTTTTTATATTACACCTCGCCTTGATAATAATATTATTTTAGACACCTTACAAATGCCTATTTACATACAATATTTAATGAAATTATGAAATTTTAAATATATCACAAATTCTTCAACTACTTACACCTTTTGACAGCAAATTTATTTAGATTTGTAAAAATGATATTTAAATTTATACAATTTAATATTTAAATTTATATAAAGTCCAGTGTTGTCAATGGACATGGACATGGACGTGGACATGCACTGTCCATGGACAGCAAATATTGTGTCCAAGAAAAATAACTATGTCCAAACAATATATAATAAAATGTACGGGATTATTTGATATAGGTTTTACAATAATAGTTAAAATAATCCCGATCTTATTGTAACATTAACGCTGTATGTTTTTTACTATAAGCAAAACTTTTTCACGGTTTAAAAGATATTTAAGTTTATTATCTATTGCCATTTTCAAAAGGATATGTCTTTAATCAAATTCTGTACATCGCAGCTTACACATATGATTATTTAATTGTTCGATTGTAAAGTATTTTTTAATAAAAATTTATTTCAAATAAAATATTCTTTTAGATCAAAGATATATAATTTTGCAAACAGCAATTACAAGCATGCAAGTATTAGTTTCGTTCATTTAATTGTAATGGTGACAAGTTCCAGTTTGTTATAAATAACTTTATTATATGATACTCATAAAAATAAAAAAATTATATACTTGCGCATTTATAAAGGATAATTGCTTTAATAGGTTAAATCACAAGATAAATAAAATAATTTTAAATGATATAACTTTTACTTAAACCTTTCAAAGAATTCAGATAATATATATTTGACTTTTGTTAAGCTTATAAAAAATTTAAAATTGATATATATTGAATACGTTTAAAGTGTTCTGCACTAATGTATTATTTTGCAAGGTGAAATAAAATATAAGATTTGTTTAATTTTATTTTAATTAATATTAGCGAAGAGCTTTGTTAAAAATATATTCATTTAAATAGTTGCAATAAAATTTATGTTTACCTATAAAATTTCATTCAACTCCAATCACTTTAAAAGAGTAGATAGTTCCCATTTTGCATTGATATCAATCACAGAATGAGTATTATTTGTAGCAAATTCATCACCATTGTATATTCTTCTTCAATATCTTCTTCTTCAAATTGTTGCCTTTCTTCTTCTAACATAACAGACCATTCTTACAAATAGTTATTAAAATTTTCTTACATTTTCACTTTCAAATTTGTCATCTGAAGATTCTTCTATTTCTTTATTTTTTGAAGTTTCACTAGTATTTAAATTTTCAGAATTTAAGTTACTTACACTATCTAAGGTAGACATCTCAACATTGATATTTGTTTGTTTTATAGATTCTATTTCTATAGATAAATTAGACTGTTGTACAAAAATATTGTTATCATATATCTGAGTTTGATCAATTTTTAAATCTGTTTGAAGCTAATAACTAAATGTAATATCTGCATATAGCTTATTCTTTTTTTTTGTTATTAAAGCTGTCTTCTTTGCTAATTAGATTTTATTAATTTGTTATTACAGAGTTATTGTAAGTAGTAATCTTCTAAGGTTTTATAGTTATATAATGAGTATACAACAAGCTACACATATAAATTTAGTTATTATCTAATTTAAATAATCTACTATAGAGCTTCTAAATTCAGTTCAAGTTGTTTAAGTTTAGTCAAACTTCTGAACTTGAACTAACCTATAACATTTGTGCAATTCTGAACTTGAAATCAAATCTGAATAGTTAAAACTAAACTCAAACCAAACTTGAATATGAAGTTATTCAGTTTGATTTGGTTCAAAGTTTATAAACTTATTCAGGTTCAAATAAGTAATTTTTTTTTTATTTAAAATTTTTTATTTATTTATTTAATTTATTAATATTTTTTTTATTAATTTATTTTTTATAAA